TGAGGTTGGGCGCCGCACCGGCACCGGGCACCGCACCGCCGGCACACGGGGCTGGGCGCTGCAGCGCGCCGGGAAACGGGATGCCGGGCACCGGCACCGGCGTGGGGCTGAGCACGGCGCGGCACCTCCCTGGGAGCGGCACTGGCACCGCCGGCACGGTCAGGGGCATTGCCGGGACGGGGGCTGGTGCAAGGCTCGTCTCTGCGCTGCTGCGATCAGCACTGGCACTGCCAGTGTGCGGCTGGGCACTGCACGGCCCGGGGACTGGGACCAGCACAACCAGTATGTGGCTGGGCAATGCGCTGCCCGGGGACTGGGACCGGCACCACCAGCATGTGGTTGGGCACTGTGGTGCCCAGGGAATGGGACCAGCACAACCAGTACGTGGCTGGGCACTGCATCAGCAAGGACTTTCTGGAACAAAGCATGTAGTAAAACCAGTGCAGACTGCTGCTGCAGGAGAGGAGCCAAATGGCGAGGAACGTTGAGTGTTAATCAGTATCAACAACAGCACTGAATCCCTTTGGTTTGACATCCAGCCTTGAGCAGGAAACCCTTGAGGGTGGGACAACTGCTGACCTGGTCAGGCTAATGACAGGTGTGATGGAGAGTAGGGGCGCTAGCGGGGAAGGGTACGCAGAAAGAGCAGTGCTGTCTTTTGCGACTGACTGCCCCAGTGCCATACCGTACCAGTGGTGGCAAGGAGTCTCCAGAGGAGAGGGAAGCTGACACCGCGCTAGGTACCGGCCCCTGAGCAGCACCACTGAGGTATTGGTTCTCTGATGCCAAACATGACATGCCCTCCATGGACTCTGGACAGACAGCCTTGGGGAGCACCAGCCGCCCCCCCATGCCCGCGACCCTGCAGGGTGCTCCCGCACTGTGTAGTGCCACCGTGCACGTGGCAGCCATGCCTCGTGCCATGCGTTGCGCCACGCTCTGCAGCCGGACTTCGCACGGCAGACGCCTGCGCTCTCCTGCTTCTTGGTGCGGGGCTGGGTTCTGCACCGCGGTCCCGTGCCACGCGCTGCATCTGCCTCTGCGCTCAGCTGGGCGCTGGGTCCCCAACAGCCTTATCATGAATTTATATCACGCATCTTGAAACATTCTTGGCGGAGAAAGGCATTTCTGTTCGTGATTTTTTTTTTTTTTTAACACTTTCAAGTGTTGTTTGTACTGCGTACAGAAAATGCAAACCTTTCAGGCAATTTAAGGGAAAAATGTGCCATCTCGTGAGTTAAATGTTTGCAGGACGGTGCTATAGAGATGTTTTTTAGTCTCTTTACATCTGTCTAAAAGCACTTCAGTTATCTGGATATTTCTCAATATTGTTTTTCTCCCTTGTCACTTACTGGGCATTTATTGCACATTCGTAAATGGAAGTACAACAAATCTTTATTTTTCACACTATTTAGACCTTTATTTCAGGTGTGGCTAGATGTGAGCAGATCTGGCAAAGATTCATGGCCCTGATTAGCTCGAGTACTCTGCTCCTTCAAACCCACTGTAGTTCCTGTTGCTTTGGACCCAAGGTCCATTGCTGATCTGTGCCACTGAGTTAAAAGTGGTACCCAAACAACTGCATTTTAGCGTTATTTCATCCCCACTCTAAACCTCCCTCTGAGCCTTCTCCTCTGCAGATGGAGCTGAATGGGCCCACAAATCCACTGGAACAGCCGCCTGGGAACATGTCCAATTTCATCTGCAGGCCCAAATGTAGCTGAAAATGATCAAAAGATTTTTATTAAAATCTGGGTTAATTGTGACTTGGGAAGATTTCTAACGCAGACCGGCGTGTACATGGCTCTATAATGATGTTTTTTCCTGGCCCTGTCTTTCTTTACGGGCCCAGATGTGAGCTGTGTGCACACCATGTAGGAAGAGTGCTGGAAAGTACCTTTGGGAGCAGAACAGTGATAACCAAGCAGCAGTTATGGATTTCACCATCTTCTTACTCTCCTCTTTAGGTCATTAAGGGAAAAACAGGGAGACGAGCAATTGAGTAACATAACTCATGTCAAATACCTGCTTTGCTAGAAAAGATCGAAAGGCAAAGCAAAGTGGTTGGAGGGCATCGGTGTGCGTGCCCGTAGGGTAGCTGTGCCTGCGAGAGGGGCACAAGCAGAAATCCCCTGATATCTTCTCTCTCCCCGGTGGCACAGGACTGATGCTCTCCAGGCTGTCACACCAGAGAGAGCGAGAGGAAGGTGGTCTGTGGGGTAAATGCAAAATGAGCCCATGGAGAGTTACTGTGGCGTGGAGGCTGTGGCTGGGATTAGCCCGCCTGGTGGAGTCCCAGCTCTAACCAGGACGGCTTCAGCTGAAGGCTGAGGCTTCAAACTATCTCCAGCCGGCCAGAGATGGATGTGGAAAAGCCAGCCAGGGTTGCTAGGATGCCAGGTGCTCCTTAACTCAGTAGGGATTAAAATCCTGTGCCCGAGTCTTTCCAGTTGAAGGTCCCCATCCTGCAAACACCTCTGCCTGTGCTCAGCTTTATGCTGGCAGTTTTAGGTCTTCCACGCCACATGGAGTAAATCTTGTACATGTTGGCAGGAATCAAAGACGAGGCCAATAACTAACTGCTGGTAGCAGTAAGAAAAGGAATAGAAAGATGTGGGAGGTTGGGTTTTTTGGTTTTGATTTTTTTTTGGCCACAGCTCTGATCAACAGATATTCACAGCCAAACTCACCCCCTACTCAAAGCAGTGCTGGCTTGGTTCATCAGCGCCTGCCGTGGTATCAGCACAGAAGACCTTTCATATATGCCACGGGCTGCACCTATTCAGCAGGTGAGCCTGTTAGCTGCTAAAAATCTCTCGCAGGGCATTGAGGTTGCCTGGCTGGACCAGGAGGCTGCGGCAGGGGACTTGGCTGCAGCAGGGAATGACTTCTTCTGCCCTGGCAGCCACAAGCCTTTGGGAGCTGCCATAAGAGAGGTGGCATTTGTAGATCACAGTAACCAGACTTCGCCAGGGCTGGTAACGCCAGCATTGCTCTTTGGACTTCATAATGCCAGGAGGATCTTCCGAATGGAGACACAGCTAATGCAGGTAGCAATTCCATAACCTGTATTTTATCCAGCACCATCCTTTCCTGGCATACTCCGGTGCCATATTTAATAATGAGAATTGCTGTAACACCCCTTGGTTCTCAAAAGTCAACAGCCTGATGCCAGCCTTTGCCACCATAAAGTCATAGCTAGGGCAAGTAGGTATCGCAAAATCTCCGGGACTCATCTCCCCTCTCCTCAGCTCTCTTGGAGGCAAGAAAGGAGATTTGGGGTTGTGCTTGCCTTGCCCAGCATCCCACCTGAATGGGGCGACTGGGTGGCGATTGGGTGGCCTCCAGGCTGGATTACATCTGAGTTGTGTTGATCATAGAATGATATCATAGAATGGTTTAGGTTGGAAGGGACCTTGAAGATCATCGAGTTCCAACCCCCCTCCCATGGGCAGGGACACCTCCCACTAGACCAGGTTGCTCAAAGCCCCATCCAGCCTGGCCTTGAACACCTCCAGGGATGGGGCATCCACAGCTTCCCTGGGCAACCTGTTCCAGTGCCTCACCACCCTCAGAGTGAAAAGTTTCTTCCTGGTATCTAATCTAAATCTACCCTCTTCCGGTTTGAAGGCATTCCCCCTCGTCCTAAAATGATGATGATGGTCACGGCTTTCTTTGAGGAAAAAGACAGTCAAAACTTGAGGGTGGAGGGTGGTCTGGTGAAGCATGAGAAAAATAAAACTTGGTGGTGGAAAAGGAAAATCAGCCTTATGTGGAAGAAAACCAGAAAAGGGCACCATTCCCAGAAGATTTCAAGGTCTGCAAATGAAGCAGCTACCTTTTCAGGCCAAAGAATTGAAATTCATGCTTAGGGTTTTTTTGACAACTCATTTGCTTGTTCTGTGAGAAGTATTCCTCTGAAATCCTGGGCAGGGGTGTGATTTGCACCTAAGTAATCTATGATAGAAAACTTTTGAGCAATCCTTACGGAAACCAAGGGAAAGCTAAAGAGCTCTCCATACTCCTGTCTGGCACCAGGTGGCACAAGTACTGCTCTTGGTAATTTGGCGCTTCGGCAAACTGAAACACGGGCATTCAAACCACACGGAAGGAATACAGAACTGTATTAGCCAACTTCAGCAGGCAACGCCAACTTTAACAAGGAAGTTAAGAGAAGATTCGTTCTTGTATGCTACCTATAAAACAGCTGAAAACGACAGAAGTGCCAGAAATCAAAATCTTGATAAAATCTGTATTATTTACCTAGGTAAAGTGACTGCTGATATTTCTAGGATGGGAAAAATTTATAGAAAACACTACTTGTCTTTACCACTGCCAGAACAAGCTTCAGCTCAGCATAAAGAGTAGGTTCAAGTTTTTAATCTTGAACGTGAAATGTGCTCTGTCTGCCCAAACTCCGGGAGTGAGCTGAGTTGGCGCTCAGGTAGTTGGACACCTCTTAAGGATGCCCAGACCTTGCTGCTCTCGTGTGAGTTTTCAAACTCTGTGCTGGGAGGTTGGACCGAACTGCCTAAAAGGATTAGGTTCTTCGCGCCAGCAAAGACCTGCTATGGTCAGGGAAGAAGCTCTGTGTTACCTGCTGTAAAATCTCGCGGCTCATTGTGGAGGGTTTGCCCTATAAAGTCAGGCTTAAATCTGGTCCTGAGGTTAAGATGGAGGAAGAAGTGTGATGATACCAAAGCCAGGAGCTCCACGTTGTGGTAACGATGATGCTCGCAGGGCTGCCGAGCAAAGCACGGATGTGTACCCGCTTAGAGAGGCTCACCCCATTTTGAGCAAAGAAGGGACAGGGCTATGACACGCGGCGGCAGTGCGCGAGGGCACAGCGTGTTGGCCACCTCCCCGGGTGCACCAGCGCTGGCCGCGTGTGAGGGTTGGCCGTGCTGTTTGAGGGCCGTGCCGCTGACCGTGCTGACTTGGGGGTTGGTGTCCAGGCGTGCCTGTGGCGATGAACAACCGCTGTTGATGGGAACAGCGTGCCCGCATGCGAGAGCGTTGCTGTACGTGCATCCCGTACGTGCGTCTGTGGTGACGAGGGTACACTTCTGCCTGTACGTGGGTGCCGGTGGCGTTCCCAGGGTGGTGTACGCAGAGGTGTATCTCTGCAGGTCACCAGGTCACTCCGTGGATGTGCGTGTGGGTTGCTACCAGGGCTGCGTGGACACAGAGGGTGAATTTGGGCAGGTGTCTCCTCTGGGTGCGTGCTGCGGGTGTTCTCAAGGCTGTGAGGCCGCGGCCGCGTCTCTCTGGGTGCGGGGCCCTCCTTTGGCGGGGGTATCTTTGGGTGGGGGATGCTCCCGGGGGTGTCCCTGCCTGCGGGGGCCATCCCGGGGCCGCGCCGCTGCAGGGCTGTC